TATTTTTTTTTTTCACACAAAATACTATTTACATGAACAGTACTCTCGCCAGCTGTTTAGCAGAAACAACCGGCTCTGATACCAGTTGTTGGGAAAGAAAGCAGAAACATGTTAATAAAACCAGCCATTTAGGCGGATCCAGCCATATAGGCGGCAACAAATAAATAAAACTAGCTAGATGATGATAGACAAAGAAAGAAAAGAAAGTAGACAACACAAGAATTTTACGTGGTTCACCCTTACACTAGGGCTACATCCACGGGACCAACTCCGAAAATATTTTATTACCACCTTCCACAAATTGTGGGAATACAGAACTCTTCACTCAACAAACACTCACTCTACAAGAGGAAACTTGTGTTTTTGAGTAATTTCTGAGTTGATTTACAAGTGAAATGGGGAGGCCTATTTATAGTTGAAGCTCCAAGGACAATCTCGTAAATATCCTAAAGCTTAGGGGCAAAATCGTAATTTTCCCTTTTGATTTTTTTCTTCTCCACCGAAAGATCTTTTGTCTTGTTTTGGTGGCTGGATTCTTCTACATCATGCACCTGAGTTTATATTTATCACTTTAATTTGATATAAATTTTTTGGATTAATTTTACAATCTTATGATCTTTACTATTTTAATTTTTTTAATTAATGTATACAATCTTATGATCTTTATATCGTTCAATAACTTTATATTAAATGTGAATTTTGTAAATTCAACCATTAGATTGAAAGTTCATATCACTTTATATGATTATATCATATTTTTTAAAAATTGAACAACTTAAAAATAATAAAAGTGCTCATATTTTATTGTATTTTAAAATATATATATATATATGTATTATGTCAATTTTATTTTATAAGAATGAAGTATCAAATCATCTTGGATTAATATAAAATTTTGTATATATGATCTAAGAGTAAAGAACTTTCAATCTAACGGTTGAATTTAAAAAATTTATATTTAATATAAAGTTATTGAGTGGTGTAATACTTAATAAAAGTTACACCAGTGTTGTTTAAACCTTCCTCTTCTAATATATATATATATATATATATATATAAGCAAAAC